CCAAACGTCTTGTCGGCAGCCGCAACAACTACCGCAGTCACGCCACGGCTCCCAGCTGTCATTCAAGCCATCACATCACCTCAACCGGGATGTGGATACCGACCCTATCGCGGCGCTCAACAATGGTACCAAAAATGTGGTGTCCAAAATGCTCGGAAAATCCCTGGCGATCATCGCTCAGACGACCCACGAAGAAGGCGCTGAACAACCAGCACTGTCATCTTGTACTGGAGTCACGCACCCCTCAACTAGGATAGAGGCAATGACGTCAATTGAATGACGTAGCCTGAAGCAACCCCCACGAGGAAATGGCGCCAGAGCAGGGGGTCCGCAGGCAGGAGGCGCGGGTGTGGTCCGCCGTGAAACAATTCCGTGCCTCGTCGGCCTCGGTCCCAGACCGCGCTACGCCGAAGGTGTACATCGATCGGAATGGATTCTCGGTCTAGCCTGGAGAAGCCGGGGAACCCTCAGCAGGCCGCGCTCGGTGACTTGAGGTCGCTGTTGGGTGCTTTCGTGCGGAAACCTCGCGGGGACGCCCATGGCATCGCAGTTGACCATCCAGCTGTGGCGGAGGCCAAACGTCGCGCCCTACAGAACGGTGGCCCCTTCGACCATTTCCCTCTACCTTCACCGTCCCAGGTGTGTGCATACAACGGGGGTACATGGTATAGGGACCGCACAACTTAATAGGCTTGAGTCCGGAAGCTGGCCCTAGTGCACCGCGGGTTCCAAAATGGTTCGGAAATCGATTCAAATTCGATTCAAATTCCGTTCAAATTTCGGGCAAATTTAGCGGCGCCGTTCATGTCGTTCATGCTTCGCGTTCGTGTTAGCCTACATGTCCGCCTGCGTATATATGCTGCGCAATGCAACAGTACCAGACTATTTGTTACCTCATTTCCACGGCGATGATTTGAACAACTTTGAAGATGCCCCCGAGTAGCAGCTCTAGGGTTAGGGTTAGGTGATTTCTCGGTTTGTACGTACTCTACTCAGGCAGGCTACCCTCTAATGGTGCTGATGAAACTTAGGACATGGAATCAATATGCGCATGAAGTACAGTTAGGGGTTAGCGCCATCCGTACGTCGAAGATGCTGATGGGGGAAAAGTGCCTGGGCTAGATACGCACGAAGACAAGTTTGACGATGCTGTACGAGTGTACGGTTCCTGTCCATCCATCACGCACCGCTTCCCCCATGTTTCTGTCGTACCTGACCATGGATGTTCGGACCTACGCAGACGGACCGAGAGCTGTTGGAAAAAGGAGCGGAACAGTGCCACTTCACCTCCGCCATTCTTCACGGTATCAATCACGAAGATGGGCGTGAGGCAGGCACTCCCTATCTTACGGATGGAGACGGCAACTGCTTGTTGAACGCCGTGGCCATGCTGCTCGTGAAGAAGCAACCACGTGGGGTCAGGAACGCCGTGAAGACGATGGCAGCTCAGCTCCGGCTGGGGATTGTCGTGGAAGGCTTGCGCAACATCGAGGTGTACCTCGATCGCCAGTATGAGTTCTACGGCACGTGGTACAACTATGTGGATCAGGTGGTGTTCGACCTGAA